GTAGTACTTACTGTTCGTTCCAAGACTGAGTACTTGGATAGTGTGGAACATGTTTGTGGACCAATGCAGTGATACATTTCTCTGTTTCTTACAATATTTGCAGTTTCTGTTTTGGTTGGGTTATAAGTTGCTTGTTAAGTAGAACAAGAGAAAGAGAGGGAGTTGCATTGCTTTGCATGAAACTCGGAATTTGTAAAACCTCGGTTTTCTAGGTTTTGCATGTACAATGATGGACTACAGGGAGGGTAGAGGGGAGAAACTTGAGCCTTTCCAAGTTGGTAGTATTGTCTATTAGCTAACACAACCTTACCTCCACCTAGCTATATTAATATCATTTATTTAGATTTGACTACATCTATGTGTGAATTATCTAGAAGAGATGTCTTTTCTAGTATTGTGTGAACAATTGAACATTATTATTATTATTATTTTATCTTAATTATACAATGAGAGACAACAATTTATCATCTTTTATCTCATCACTTATTCCACTCCACTCATATATCATATAACTCGAATTCAATATCTTTTACTTTCAGTAAAAAAATATAATCATTAAATTACTTAGGTTGTTAGCACAATCGAACGTTAATATATTAAACGATTTGTGTATTTGAATCTATATATTAGTATAAGGTTAATGAAGTTAATGACTTTTCATTTGGGTCTTGTTAGCACCATTATAAATAGAAAAGTATAGTATAATTTAAATTATTTTAAATTGTATAATTTAAATTATTTTAAATTGTATAATTTTAATTATTAAATAGAAATACACCATTTAATATTAAGAGTTTATTTTTTATTTAATAATTTTTATTTTGTAATTTAATATAGTTTAAATTATAAAATAAGAAACTTATTATATATATAATCTTCATCTTTTTTTAGATATCACACTTAAATAAGAGTGTAATATTTAAGTTTTTTTAAAAAGAAAAATGTGACAATTAATTTAAATTACCCATATTTCTTTAGTAAGTAAAATAACTAATTCAATCCAAGAATACCCTCTCCATTTAAGTTGGGCTGTTATAGTTCGATTTTTTTAATTTTTTTAACATTAATTTTATATAAAATTTTGACAAAATATGTAAATAATAAGACTTTTCATTTTATTATTATATTAATAATTCATGTTGAGTACTAAAATATATTAGTAATTAAAATATTCAAAATGATAAAAAAAAAAGTTTAAAAATTCCATATAAATTAATACACAATAAAAATTTATTAAAAACATTTAATAAATTTTATAAGATATCTAAAATATGAAAACATACTAATTTTTATTTTTCTTTATTTTTTAAATAAAAATGGTACTGTCCGAAAAAAAAAAAAAAAAAAAAGTGGGAGATTTGTACGAAATTATTGGCTACAGTTGGCTGCACAATCATCTTCCAAATTTCCCAGATTTTGTGGCAGCCAGGCCGTGATTGACAAGATCAGGACCATTTATGTGTCGATCCACGCATCCTAACATCATCAGATCAGGGAATTCATCCTAAAGCCTGACGGTCCTTCAGCTGCATCCTCACGGTTACTCTCCTTCGCCTTAGCAACACCAGATCACCGTCTCCCCCGTGATAACCAAATCTCACCATCATCATCATCATCATCATCATCATCATCACCATCATCAATCATCAATCATCAAAGCGTCAAACAATCTAATCCATTGATGACGCCCTGACGTCACGTAATCTGACGGCTATTATCTCGCATTCACCCTCGAGATTACGCACTGTTGAAACCTATCATATCTGTTTTGTTCTAGATTGTCCATCATTTCTCATCTTAATGAATTCTATGTCCCCTAGTTAAACACTGTTTAGAATCTACTTCTTCTTATTTTCTAATTTAAAATATATAAAATTATAAATTTAAAAAATTAAAAAAATATATTATCCTATAATGTCAATAAATTTTTTCTTTTTAATAATAATATTATATAATTTAATACAATTCAAACTATACAATATTTTTTTATAAATATTTTTTATGCCTAAATATCTAATTTA